GACGCGCAGCCCCCGCCACAGCAGGTTGGTGGAGTCGTGGTGGCGCACCTCGCGGCACTCATCCCACTCAAGCACTGAAGGGGGGGGCGGGGCGGGCGGCGCCGGCGAGGTGAGGCAGGCGTGGGCGCAGGCAGGCAGGCAGGTGGGCGGGCGCGACGGGCGGGGCAGAGAGGCAGAGGCAGCGAGATCAGGGCAGCGGGCGGTGCGCTCTTCCTGCCCCCGCCCCGCCAGCCCCGGTGGTCCCAGGCCCACCCGTGTCTGGCCAGGAGAATCCCAGCAGCTCCTGCTGCAGAGCGCATCCCCAGGCCACCGCGTCCTCCAGCTGGCGGAAGGCCAGGGTTAGCTTGCCGGGCTCCGGCTCCTTGCACTCATACCCCCTGCAAGCCAGGCGGGCAGGCGGGCGCCAGCAGGACACGGTGGTGGGGCGGCCGCGGCGGGTGGGTGGCGGTACCGCCGCCCGGGAGGACCCAGCACCCGGCACCCAGCACCCTTCAGCGGTAGCCTCCGCGTCCGCCATCCAGAGCCTGTACCGGTACCGCGGCATCACCTGTACTGCCTGAGCAGCCCCCGCATCAGCTTGGTGGCCTTGCCCAGCGCCACGTTGTACGCGGTGAGAACGCGCAGGATGGTGTCGTCACTCACACCGGACCGCACCTGCTCCGCCTCCGCCACCTCGGCGGGCTTGCTGACCTGGTGCAAGGCAGGGCAGGCGGGCAGGCGGGAGGAGACGCCGGCAGGGGGCAAAGGTTACGCAAGCTGGGCGCCACACTTGGGCAGTGAGCGAGGCGGACAGGTGCAGGCACGCGGGCCAGCACTCACCACCACCAGCACCCACCACCACCCACCGCCAGCACCCACCACCACCACCATCGCCAGCACCCACCTTGACATACACAAAGGCCACGGCCTCGTCGGCGGCGGGGGCGTCCCGGTAGCCCGGCTCCACCATGCCCAGGGTGCGGGGCGGCGGGAAGGTGCGGCGCAGCAGCACTGCGAGGGCGGGGCGGGGCGGGTGGGGTCGGAAGGTGTAGGCGGCAGGGCTGCTGGCTGGCGGCGTTGGGCTGTGTGGGTGCTAGCCGCAGCGCCCTCGCCCCTCACACCCAGCACCCGCATAGCGCATACACAGCCGCAGCCACAGCCACAGGCGCAGGCGCAGCGCCCACCCTGCGGCATGACCTCCATGAGCAGCAGCGGCGGCGAGGAGGGCGACGGATCCAGCAGGTGGCTGCCTAGGCTGACCACCTGCAGGGGCGGGGGCGGGCGGGGGGGGGGGGGGGGGGGGGGGGGGACTATGAGCGTGAGGTGGGGGATGGATGGGGCG